CTATCATTAGCTCTAGAACCAGAAGTAGCTGCTATAGCTGCACAGCATCAGTCAGCAGTATCAGGAACACCTCCACAGAGATATATGGTAGTTGATATAGGAGGAGGTACAGTTGATATTACTGTACATGATAAGAGTAATGGGAGAATTAGTGTAGTACTACCACCAATGGGGAACACCTGGGGAGGTACTACTGTCAATGAAGCATTTTCTGAATTATTTCAGGAAATATTAGAAGATGAAGGTTTCATGTCTTTTTCAAAATCAGATCCAATTCGTGCAAGAGCTGCTCTAAACAAACTTTTATATGGAGAGTTTGAAGAGCGTAAAAAGGTATTTGGAGACGCAACCGAAGGTATTCGTGAAATAGCACTACCATTGCCATTCCCTATGATACAGTTCTACTGCAATGATAAGCTTCAAAATGCTGAACAACTGAATATAGAATATGATCCAGATGAAGGCTTGCTATCAATTAATTTTAAACTTGTGGAGGAGAAAATATTCAAATCCACAATAGATAACATCCTTAAGTGTATGAGGGCAGCATTTGATGAGCTAACAGATCATATTGATACAGTTTATCTGGTAGGAGGGTTTGGAGGGTGTAGGTTTGTTAGTCAAAAGATAGAGGAAGCTATTGCTCAGCATCATGGCATGCTTTATGATAATATAGTGTGTCCTGTACAACCAGATCTTGCTGTTGTAGTAGGAGCAGTAATGTGGAGGAAAGATCCTAACATAATCCAATCACGTGTTGCTGATGCTACCTATGGGACAGGTGTTAATGTTGTATTTGACCCATCAATACATGATGAACATTACAAGTATGTAAATGAAGATGATGTACTACGTTGTGCTAATGTCTTTAATGTATTTGTACTCAAAGGAGAAGAGATAAAGGATGAAGTATATAAAGCTACATATATACCTGGTCGTCAAAGATACACACAAATGCATATCCCTATATACTGTACAGGAGATGATGGAGTTCAGTATATAGAAGATAAAAAAGGTAAACTAACAGTACGTGAGATTGGTCAGCTAATACTTGATATTCCTAATCCTGATAATCTACCAAGAAATAAGAGAGAATATGACGTATTCATGGATTTCAGAGGTACAGAGATACAAGCAAGAGCTCAGTATAGTATCACTGGAGAAGAAGTGAAAACAGTTTGTGACTTTCTATCAAACCAAGACTAATAATAATAATGAACTAAATAGTTTCAGAATATACATGTAATATAATAGTGAAACAATTGCTGTAACTTAGAATAATGTTAGTAATGGCAATAGAATATTAGTACGTTAATGCAGTGACTTTTGTGTGCATTTTGAATTTGAACTTGTTTTTATAATTTTTCATTTTATTATTCAATAACGTAATGAAAACTTTTGAACACAGATTCTTCAGCATGCCACAAGCAGCTACAATAGCAATTATAAATTAATAAATAAATAAAACAAGTCCTCACCTACGCAAGGCATGGGTGAGGCCAATGAATAATGTATACCGGTTTATTTTCGTGGTGAAATATTTTCGCAAATTTTGCAGTTTCTTGAAATTTTTTCACCACAAAATTTCTGCATTTCCATTGCCACATGGTGCAAACTGCAAGCCATTTGTGAATATTCTGCAAAATCTTAGAAATGCAAGATTCATGAAAATTTTTTACCACAAAAATAAACCAGTATACAGTATAATATTTACAGGATATTCTATACATGCATGAACCTAATATGCATACAGTTAAAGCTCAAGAAGAAAGTTATAAAAAAAGAAAAATAAATGCAAATTAGCTGCATGTAATTTCACTGTACTTTTTGATTATCATTTTAAAACAAATACTACTGATCACTGTAGTTGCTAATTAAAAGAATTATGCAGCAACTGTGGAGTGGGCCCACATTCAACTCTACTATTCACAGTTTACATTAGTTTCACTTAGTCATGTTGATATGTATGTAACACTATTTAAAGAATAGACAGCAGCAGCCCTTACAATCGTAACATTTATCATGGCTTTATCTAAGGGACCAGTGTCAAGAGCTGAGAAGATACCAAGAGCCACTCCTGTACTACAAGACAGCAATTGTATAGCAGCTATTGACTTTGGAACATCATCACTATCAGTAGCATATACCACTCCAACAACAGGAGGAGATGTAAAAGTTCTACCACTTCACAGTACAATGGAAAGAATCCCTAATGCTATATTAATCTCAATAGACCAGGAGAACCAGCAATGCAAAGTCACTGGGATTGGACATGAAGCACAAAATATGCACAGCAGTATGAAAAAAGATCACGCTAAAAACTTCATATACTTTGAAAGAATAAAAAATTTACTGAAAAGAGACAAAGTGAGTTAGAGATAAAAATATAAACACCAATATGACATTAATTTATCCCTTAGTCATTAGGTCGTACTACTGAAGTCTCTTCATTCACTGGTGGATCTTATTATCTCATTGAAGTTATAGCTTTTATACTAACACACCTCAAGAAGAAGCTACTCACTGATCATTTGAAAGGAAACTACAAGTCAAGTGATTTTGATTGGGTCATTACTGTTCCTGCTATATGGAAAGCAAGAGCAAGAAGAATGATGAGAGAAGCTGCTTATATGGTAACCTAATACATGCTTTGTATTTCATTATGTTAATATGATAGGCTGGTCTCACTTCTGATGCTCCTGGTATAACAAGGTTCACTCCAGTTGGTTCCCCTTTACCACGTCCAGAGGAGGTTAATCCTCAGAAGCTATCATTAGCTCTAGAACCAGAAGTAGCTGCTATAGCTGCACATAAGTATTCAGAAGTATCAGGGTCCCCTCCACAGAGATATATGGTAGTTGATATAGGAGGAGGTACAGTTGATATTACTGTACATGATAAGAGTAATGGGAGAATTAGTGCAGTACTACCACCAATGGGGAACAACTGGGGAGGCACTACTGTCAATGAAGCATTTTCAGAATTACTACAAGAAATAGTAAAAGACAGAGGTTTTACATCTTTTTTAAAGTCAAATCCCATTAATGCCAAAGCCACCTTAAATAATTTTTTCTTTGAAGAGTTTGAGAAGCACAAAAAAATATTTGGAGATGCAAATGAAGGCATTCGTGAAATAGTACCAACATTGCCAACATCTTTTGTAAAACACTATGGTGATAAGAAACTTCGTCAAGCAAACAAGAAGAATATACACTATGATCCAGGAGATGCTTCATTAAGCATAGCATATCATCTATTAGAAGAGAAGGTATTCCAATTAACAATGGATAAAATCACAGAGTGCATGAGGGCAGCATTTGATGCACTAACAGGTCATATCAATACAGTTTATCTGGTAGGAGGGTTTGGAGGGTGTAGGTTTGTCAGGCAAAAGATAGAAGAAGCCATTCGTCAGCATCGTGGTATTCTTTATGATAATATAGTGTGTCCTATACAACCAGATCTTGCTGTTGTATCAGGAGCAGTAATGTGGAGGAAAGATCCTAACATAATCCAATCACGTGTTGCTGATGCTACCTATGGGACAGGTGTTAATGTTGAATTTGACCCATCAATACATGATGAACATTACAAGTATGTAAATGAAGATGGTATACTACGTTGTGCCAATGTCTTTGAGATATTTGTACTCAAAGGAGAAGAGATAAAGGATGAAGTATATAAAGCTACATATATACCTGGCCGTCAAAGATACACACAAATGCATATCCCTATATACTGTACAGGAGATGATGGAGTTCAGTATATAGTAGATAAAGAAGGTAAACTAACAGTACGTAAGATTGGTGAACTGGTACTTGATATTCCTAATCCTGATAATGTACCAAAGAAAGAGAGAGAATTTGACGTATTCATGGATTTCAGTGGTACAGAGATACAAGCAAGAGCTCAGTATCGTATCACTGGAGAAGAAGTGAAAACAGTTTGTGACTTTCTATCAAAACAACACTAATAATAATAATGAACTAAATAGTTTGAGAATATATACATGTAATATAAGATTAACAACTGCTGTACTTAAGAATCGTAATACTACATGTAGTCTTATGAACAGTGACTTTTGTGTGCATTTAATTACGAACGGTTGGAATATTATTAGTAACAGTATTAACATTAACGTGATGACTTTTGTGTGGAAAGGCGGATTTACAATATTACACTAGTCTAGACATTACATTGACGCTGGAATAGAATCTGGTTCAACTCCAGCGGGAAGCATGCGGCAAAAGGTCAAATCGCCCATGCTTTTGATTAAAAATTGACGGTAATTAATTTGACACTTTCATATACAGTCAAACCTCCGAAAGCGGACAGTCCGAGAAGTGGACACACTCTCTAGAACAGACAAACCTGCAGTCACCGATTAAAATAGCCCATCTTACTGTACATTAGCAACCTCCCAGAAGCGACCACCTCTAAACTCCGGACAGCGGACAGTTTTACAAGCACAAAGAAGCTTCTAAACATGTGATTTTACCTCTGTAAACAGACATTTCCGGAAATATAGAAAGCCACACCCTCAATATTAAAGTTAATAGCAATCATTAAATTAATAAGAACACTCAGAACAGTTATTATTGGGGCGAGCCTGAGCTCGCCCCACTAAGGCGAGAAAACGTCTGTCTGTCTGTACGGGCAGTAGGATCGTCTAACTATTATTAAAGTTAAATAGACTAATTTTTATTGAAACGGGTGTGGTCACAATAAATAAAATGGTGGCTATCAGCAAGCCTAAGCTTATTTGCAGCAAACAGTCAGCAAGATAAAACTAAATTGCTGTCTAAAAACTTCTCTAGCAAGAATAAAGGTTGGAAAAGCAGATATACAGTCTTTTCGTTGGTATAAAGGACTCTAATAAGTTGAATGCTAGTGAGAAAGCTGCATGTACTGTAGCCTAGCTGCATGTACTGTAGCCTAGCTGCATGGTAAGATCTATTCTAGGTGATCTATTCTATTCTCTAGCAGCAAGCCTAGGTTAACAAAGCAGATACACAATCTTTAAGTATGATTTGTGCAGTGACTGCTCATAGTTCTAAGCATCTTTAATGCTATCAATAAGATAAGTTTGTTGCTGCAGACTGAGCAGATGCTTGAGTGTTGAAGTGACTGGATCTACTGTATTAGCCTTCGACTTGTACAGTTGCATTGCTTGCTCATGTATCATACAGCACATAGATAATCTATGCCTTGCACAATTGCTTAGGCTCGCCCCCTTAATGCACTGCATTCTCCCTAGTAGTATAATAATGATGCTAGGCCTAGTATTTATAGATTATACAGTAGCTATAGCTTAATGCTTGACCTAAACCTGATCTCTGAAACAGGGGGAGGTCACAACACAACCTCTGAGAAGAGGACAACCTCTGAATAAAGGACAATAGCTGACTTCCCAAAGTGTCCGCTCTTCGGAGGTTTGACTGTAATTTTATTTTTTTAGTAATTAAAAAAATTTGTTTTTCAATTTTCAATCAGAATTTTGAGTATGAATGGCTCAAGCAAAAATTCACAGCAATTTGCTTATATACATGTACATGTACAACTACAATGTATATAAATTAATAATTACCATTAACTATTACATGTACTAATAACTATTAATAACCACTAATAACTATTAATAACTCACAAGTTAAGGAACATGAGGTAATCATAATTAGATATTTCTCCAGTTTGCCACTTCTGAGTAGCATCAGTCAGATCAGGAACCTGTAGGGACACACCCCTCACCCCCACCAACTTATCATAGAGACTGTTCCTCTTTGACGTGGAGGAGAGGACCAGAAATATACTCTGACCCCCTCGGGAGAATAATTCCAGACCCTATGGGACAATATAAACTAACTGGTGAATGGAGAATGTTCATAAATGTCATTAATAATAATTTATTAAATTAAAAGGAGGAGTGACGTACATGTACAAATTGACAGGTGTAGTTTCATACTGTATACCGGTTTATTTTCACAGTGAAAAATTTTCAAAAATCTTGCATTTCTAAGATTTTATGGAATTAATTTTCGCAAATACATTGCAGACTTTACAACGTGGCAATAGAGATGTAAAATTTTGTAGTGAAAAAATTTTGCGATAGAACAGAAAAACGCAAAATTCACGAAAATATTCCACCATAAAAATAAACCGGTATTTATATCAATATCATATACAGTGTAGCCTCTACATTAAACACTATAGAACTATATCACATACAATTAAAAGTGAAATTGACATTTAGTTATAGATACAACCATTTAATACATGTATAATCAAATTTGTGATCTACATGTACACGTATATGTAGATGTAAATGTGTAAATTGTGAGAGATGGTATTTTGTCATTGGGTGTGGTCTTGTCCTGGTAGGTGTGGCTTACCACATGCCGTAACATGTAT